ATTTGCAATTTCTTTCCACATGTTCATGCTGTGTTAAAATAAAACACGTTGTTGTACCTATTAGAAATGACTATGAGAAGTAGCCTTTTCCTGTAGGCTAATCTTCCCCAGAGACGATATGTTGTAGCAGAGCTGTGCTTGACCGCGGTGAGCAATACATTTTAATCAAGGTCATTTATCTGCTACATGCTGGCGAGAGTGACTGATGATACCAATATACCACTCATTCAACGAGGTTTATAGCGTTCAGTGGTATAGCCTTACAGAGATTCGGGTGGAGTTGTATAAGTTTATAGACGAGTTTGATGAAATGTCACACTATTGTGTCAGCTTTCTGTGTAACGCGGTTAATTCAAGGCAATGACCTTTCATTCTAAATCTGAAAAGGCACGCACGCGGGTTGTGCACACATACACACAGAAACACACACGCATGCTCACGATGACATTTAAACCAAAAATTCGAATGCGTTTGACATTGTCACCCACAACTGTAGCGCTTTCTGTAGCCAAAAGTAACAGAGGTGAAACGACATTCGCTGAAGCAGGCAGTGGAGACTGTTGCACTGTGGAAAATGTACAAGACATGTGTTACAGTGCAGTGGTAAATGTGTAAGAAACATTGGCTACATAAAAGACAGTGATAAACCCATCCCCTTAAAAAATTTAAATAAAACTTACATCATCCCATTTCATAAATTTGTTGCCCTTTCTCAGGCTCTCGCTCACGGACACGGGCTTGAGCTGCAGCGCGTGAACTCCTGGCTGAGCCCCGGCCATTGACTCATCTACTCTCCTCAACCGACACAGCAAAATAAACGATTTTATGTCTTCTTTCTCTCCCTTTCTCCTTTTCTTTGCTAAACGAAACGACCCTTCTGCTGAGGAACGGTAGGCTGATGGAAGCCCCACTAGTGTTGGCAGTATCTCATTCCAGCATGGGTTTTCGGGTCTCAGCTTTGAAGCTCCCTGACGCGAGTTGGACGCGAAAGCAGGCTCAGCAGAGGGACTGGGTGATGTCGGCTTGTGACGGCTGATGCAGTTTCAGAAGAGGGGGGGGGACGACTTTAAATGAGTGAGTGTCTGCACTCCCATTTAAAAACAGTCAGTTCAGTGGCTCTCTGTGATCTAGCGCCTCCCTGCGCTCAAGGCAATGTGGATAGTAGGCCTACACACACACCCACACACACGCACACGCACACGCACACACAGAGGTTTGTTTTACTATCCTTGTGGGGACCAAACAATTTATTCCAATTCAAACCTAACCCTTAACCTAACCCTAACCCTGACCCCAAAACCCTAACTCTAAAACTAAACCTAACCCTAACTCCTAACACTAATTGTAACCCTAAACCTAACCCCTAAGCCTAAAAAACATTTTTCCTTGTGGGGACTGGTGATTGGTACCAAAAATGTTTCTTGTTTTACTATCGAGGACTTCTGGTCCCACAAGGATAGTAAAACCAATCCACACACACACAGAGTAAGAGAGAGCGAGAGCACTGTTACATGAGACAGGTGGCCAGATTGAACACAAGGGCTCTTGGATGTGTGATATTGTTGACTGACAGTTGTAATGGAAGGGTCATTCTTGTAAACAATATGTAACAGATGTTTTTACCCATGAAAGCTTTTATGGACATGGTGTTGGACGCCCTTTAGTTTCACTGTCACCTGACTGAGCCTTACTGAACATACAACGTAATGGACCATGCATGCTTTTCCATAGGAAACAAGGATAGTGATTGTTTCAGATGAAGAATGTGTTCTCTCTCATAGAAGATGTATCGTTGCTATATCATCAGCACACAACTGATCACAACTTCAGACAACTCAGACAAAAATGATCTCCAATTCTATATAATTATTTATAGCTTTAAGTTTTGTCTTTGTCCCTTCGTTCCTTTATTTGATTGGAGAATACATTTCCCATCTCTCTGATGGTGACAATCAATGACTTTACCCACTCATGCTCCAAGTACTTTATAAGAGAACTGCAGAGAAGAAAACAACTTCTGAGAAGGCTAGACACAGTCTGTGTCAGTCAAAGTCGTCATAGTCGCAGAGCCTTGAGGGCAAAAGTAGGGTCACAAAGCCTACACCGCTTCCTAAAATCTCCAAAACGGGATGTAACAATATTAAATCTGCTTCAGACATTTTCCTCTTGGTGGTCAGTGGACAGTCCAGCCGTCTGAAATGGAAGCAGTGTAGGCTTCTTGTCCCATGTCAATAATGATTGATTAATCCTGACACACGCGCACATACCCCCACACACACACACAAACATGGCAGCCCAGAGAAGAGAGACATGTTGCTTCAGTCAGTCTTTCAAAGAGCTATTTTTAAAACAGTAGTACTGGGGGCAAACAAATATGGGTTTGAAGTCAGTTGTGTGTTAGGTCATTTGAATAACCCACAGCCTCATGTCATGTTTGATGTGAAGCTTTACAGACCAGACAAGCAAACTACAGTGCACTCAGCTTATAAAAAAATACAGAGCTACTATAATAATCGACCATATAGAGAAAGCTTTCTATTATTGTATGCATTTTACTTTTAAGAGAAAATCTGTTAGAAGATCAAATTGCCAAGGGAGGATGCAATTATTTTAAGACCAATGCAATATGTTCTCATGTAGTACACCTCATATTGCACTCCTTAGGTATAGGCTACCTAACAAACACAAAAACACTGCGGTAACATTTCTCTGAATGGCACAGTACACTCCAACCCCAGGGCATACCATACTACAGTATGATAGTCTAGTGAATTTTGGGAGCTGCCAAGCCACATTGTGCCAAGTCCGTATGCACTGGACCAACTGGTCAGTCCACGCTCTACAGCCGGTTAAGGACATGCCCAGACTGGAAAGTCTCTATGCTACAGGCCAGTAGCTGTGATATTAACACAACCAGCATAACCTTATGTGGTTTATTACAGTAAATGTATAATGTAGTCCTGCTTTAGCTTCTATGTTATAGTAATCTCAAAAACCAGAACCAAATCTTGTGTTATATGCAGTCTCTCACTAGAGACTAATGTTATAGTGTCTAGATCTAAGTCAATGCTTAATAGATCCACCTCAGTTGGAGCCAAATTCCAAACTCTTGAAATGAGGTATCAAACATTAAAGCCATTTATATTATGTATTATTATGGAATATGTGTGTTATAAATCATGTGTTAAATATATGATACACATATGGGCATATTATAAATGTTATATCATATAATTATAGCCACCAGAGTTATGAGTAATTTCGTTGTGTTTCACCAGAGCTGCCTTTAGATCAGCTGAAAGGACTAGCTGTAAACTGCATTGTCCCGTATTTGAACCCTGCTAGTGCTATAGAGAGTAACTATGGCGCCACCTGCTGTTTCTCAGCTGCCAATACAGCCTGGGTGGTCACTTTCGCCTCAAGGAATTGTCAGTTCTGTATTCCTACCACATGGATGCGCCATAAGACCACGGCCATCAGAGGCATATGAAACAGCCAGCACTGGCTCTTGTAGCATTCAGACCATTTCAGTATAGTTTTTTACTGCCAGCACTGCTAAGACTGTCACACTTTGTCTTTTTGTTAGATCTGAAGTTGTTACCCTGCCTCTCTCCACGAACAGTTAATGACAGGTGGGATCGTGGGCTTGGAGGAAAGATCTACAGTAGATAGTGTGAAGGGAACAGGGGTATCGTAGGAGGATACCTGGCACTCTGCTCAAATAATTTAGTGCTGGCTTATGAAGCAGTCGTCAGTTCTCAGTCCCTGTTGAAGTGATTTAAATTCCATTACAAAAACAAACAAGGCAGCCCTCAGCCTCATAAATTGTGTCATCGGTGGACAGTGACATGGAAACATAACATCATCTGAACGGAACCTGCCTGGCCCTGGCCTGGACTCAAACAGAGAGGAGGGAGTAGTACAGTCAGACAGACAGGAGGGAGTAGTACAGTCAGACAGACAGGAGGGAGTAGTACAGTCAGACAGACAGGAGGGAGTACATACAGTCAACAGACACAGGAGGGAGTAGTACAGTCAGACATACAGAGGGAGTAGTACAGTCAGACAGACAGGAGGGAGTAGTATCACGTAGACAGACCAGGAGGGAGTAGTACAGTCAGACAGACAGGAGGGAGTAGTACAGTCAGACAGACAGGAGGGAGTAGTACAGTCAGACAGACAGGAGGGAGTAGTACAGTCAGACAGACAGGAGGGAGTAATACAGTCAGACAGACAGGAGGGAGTAGTACACTTAGACAGACAGGAGGGATAGTACATTAGACAGGAGAGGGTATACAGTCAGACAGACAGAGGAGTAGACAGCAAGACAGGAGGGTTACGTCAGACAGACAGGAGGAGTAGTACAGTCAGACAGACAGGAGGGAGTAGTACATCAGACAGACAGGAGGGAGTAGTAACATCAGACAGACAGGAGGGAGTAGTACAGTCAGACAGACAGGAGGGAGTAAGTACAGTCAGACAGACAGTAGGGAGTAAAACAGTCAGCAGACAGGAGGGAGTAGTACACTTAGACAACAGAGGAGTAGTACATTAGAGACAGTAGGGAGTATCATAGACAGACAGGGGAGTAGTACGTCAGAGACAGAGGGTGTACAGTCAACAGACAGGAGGGAGTAGTACAGTCGCAGAAGGAGGGAGTAAATTACAGTCAACAGCAGGAGGGAGTAGTAACAGTCAACAGACGGAGGGAGTATACCCCTTAAAAGGGGAAGGAGGGGTATACACAAAAACAGAAGGAGGGAGTAGTACGTCAGGACAGACAGGAGGGTATAGTAAGTCAGACAGTACGGAGGAGTATCACTCAGACAGACAGGAGAAGAGTGAAATCAACATAAGGAGGGATAGTACAGTGAACAGACATATTTATTTATAATCAATTAGTTATAGACACCAGGAGTATAGTACACTTATCACCAGGAGGGAGATCAGCTGACAAGACAAGGGTGTATAACAGCATTGCCCGTATTTCAACCCGCTAGGAAGGAGAGTACAGCGCAACAGCGGTTATCTCAGCAGAGCAATACAGCCAGGGTGGGTCACTTCGCCTCAAGGAAAGTGTCAGTTCTGACCAGCAGGCATGGAAGCGTCAGAAGACCAAGGGGAGTCAGAGACAGCGAATAACAGCCAGAAAACTGGGGTCTGTGTCAGCATTGGGAGATATCATCAGCAGAGGGTATTTTACGCAGCGACAGGATAAGACTGTCACACAGGATGGGAATTTGTAGTCTGCAAGGTGTACATCGCAGCCTGTCTCCACGAAGTTAATGAAAAAGGTGGGATCGTGGGCATTGGGGGTAAGTCAGACAGACAGTAGATAGTAGTGAAGAACAGGGGTAGTCGTAAGGGGGAGGATAGGCAGTCAGCCACAAAAAATTTTAGGCTGGGGTATACAGCAGACGTCGGGGTTCTACGTCACCGGAGGGGATTAAGTTCATTAGAAAAACAAACAGGCAGACCCAGCCTCATAAAGTGTCATCGGACGGAGGAGTGACATGACAACAATAATACAGTCAACGAAAGGGGAACATTTAGCAGGCTGGGGGTATCAAACAGAGAGGAGGGAGTAGTACAGTCAGACAGACAGGAGGGAGTAGTACAGTCAGACAGACAGGAGGGAGTAGGACAGTCAGACAGGCAGGAGGGAGTAGTACACTTCAGACAGACAGGAGGGAGTAGTACATTAGACAGACAGGGGGAGTAGTACAGTCAGACAGACAGGAGGGAGTAGTACAGTCAGACGGGAAGGAGGGAGTAAGTACAGTCAGACAGACAGGAGGGAGTAGTACATTAGACAGACAGGAGGGAGTAGTACAGCCCAGACAGACAGGAGGGAGTATACAGTCAGACAGACAAGGAGGGAGTAGTACAGTCAGACAGGAGGGAGTAGTACAGTCAGACAGAGGAGGGAGTAGTAGCAGGGGAGTACAGTCAGACAGACAGGAGGGAGTAGTACAGTCAGACAGACAGGAGGGAGTAGTACAGTCAGACAGACAGGAGGGAGTATAGTACAGTCAGACAGAAGGGGAGTAGTACAGTAGACAGACAGGAGGGGGTAGGACAGTCAGACAGACAGGAGGGAGTAATACAGTAGTACAGACAGAGAGGGAGTAGTACAGTCAGACAGGAGGGAGTATTTACAGTCAGACAGACAGGAGGGAGTAAAGTACTAGTAACTAGACAGACAGGAGGGAGTAGTACAGTCAGACAGACAGGAGGGAGTAGTACAGTCCAGACAGGAGGAGTAGTACAGTCAGACAGGAGGGAGTAGTACACTTAGACAGACAGGAGGGAGTAATACAGTCAGACAGACAGGAGGGAGTAGTACAGTCAGACAGACAGGAGGGAGTAGTACAGTCAGACAGGAGGGAGGGAGTAGTACAGTCAGACAGACAGGAGGGAGTAGTACAGTCAGACAGACGGGTATGGAGTAGTACAGTTAGACAGACAGGAGGGAGTAGTACACTTCAGACAGACAGGAGGGAGTAGTACAGTCAGACAGACAGGAGGGAGTAGTACAGTCAGACAGACAGGAGGGAGTAGTACAGTCAGACAGACAGGAGGGAGTAGTACAGTTAGACAGACAGGAGGGAGTAGTACAGTCAGTCAGACAGGAGGGAGTAGTACAGTCAGACAGACAGGAGGGAGTAGTACAGTGCAGACAGGAGGGAGTAGTACACTTAGACAGACAGGAGGGAGTAATACAGTCAGACAGACAGGAGGGAGTAGTACAGTCAGACAGACAGGAGGGAGTAGTACAGTCAGACAGGAGGAGGGGTAGTTAGGACAGTTCAGACAGACAGTAGGAGTAGTACAGTCAGACAGACAGGAGGGAGTAGTACAGTTAGCAGACAGGAGGGAGTAGTTACATTTCAGACAGACAGGAGGAGTAGTACAGTCAGACAGACAGGAGGGGTAGTACAGTCAGACAGACAGGAGGTGAGTAGTACAGTTCAGACAGACAGGAGGGAGTAGTACACAGACAGACGGGAGGGAGTATACAGTCAGACAGACAGGAGGGAGTAGTACAGTCAGACGGGACGGGAGTAGTATACAGCCCAGACAGACAGGAGGGAGTAGTACATTAGACAGACAGGAGGGTTAGTACAGTCAGACAGACAGGAGGGAGTAGTACAGTCAGACAGACAGGAGGGAGTAGTACACTCGACGACAGGAGGGAGAGTACAGGACGACAGGAGGAGTAGTACACTTAGACAGACAGGAGGGAGTAGTACACGGGACAGACAGGGAGGGAGTAGTACACTTAGACAGACAGGAGGGAGTAGTACCAGTCAGACAGACAGGGGGAGTATACAGTCAGACAGACAGGGGGAGTAGTACAGTCAGACAGACAGGAGGGAGTAGTACAGTCAGACAGACAGGAGGGAGTAGTACAGTCAGACAGACAGGAGGGAGTAGTACAGTCAGACAGACAGGGGGAGTAGTCACGTCAGACAGACCAGGAGGGAGTAGTACAGTCAACGACAGGAGGGAGTAGTACCAGTCAGACAACAGGAGGGATAGTACAGTCAGACAGACAGGAGGGAGTAGTACACGTAGACAGACAGGAGGGAGTTAGTACAGTCAGACAGACGGGAGGGAGTAGTACAGTCAGACAGACAGGAGGGAGTAGTACAGTCAGACAGGAGGGAGTAGTACAGTCAGACAGACAGGAGGGAGTAGTACACTTAGACAGACAGGAGGGAGTAGTACAGTCAGACAGACAGGAGGGAGTAGTACAGTCAGACAGACAGGAGGGAGTAGTACAGTCAGACAGACAGGAGGGAGTAGTACAGTCAGACAGACAGGAGGGAGTAGTACAGTCAGACAGACAGGAGGGAGTAGTACAGTCAGACAGACAGAAGGGAGAAAGTACACGTCAGACAGACAGGAGGGAGTAGTACAGTCAGACAGGAGGGAGTAGTACAGCCAGACAGACAGGAGGGAGTAGTACAGTTAGACAGACAGGAGGGAGTAGTACACTCAGACAGACAGGAGGGAGTAGTACAGTCAGACAGACAGGAGGGAGTAGTACAGTCAGACAGACAGGAGGGAGTAGTACAGTCAGACAGACAGGGGGGAGTAGTACAGTCAGACAGACAGGAGGGAGTAGTACACTTAGACAGACAGGAGGGAGTAGTACACAGACAACGAAGGGAGTATACAGTCAGACAGACAGGAGGGAGTAGTACAGTCAGACACACAGGAGGGAGTAGTACAGTCAGACAGACAGGAGGGAGTAGTACAGTCAGACAGACAGGAGGGAGTAGTACAGCCAGACAGACAGGAGGGAGTAGTACAGTCAGACAGACAGGAGGGAGTAGTACAGTCAGACAGACAGGAGGGAGTAGTACAGTCAGACAGACAGGAGGGAGTAGTACAGTCAGACAGACAGGAGGGAGTAGTACAGTCAGACAGACAGGAGGGGTAGTACAGTCAGACAGGACGGGGGAAGTAGTACACTTAGACGGGCAGGAGGAGTAGTACAGTCAGACAGACAGGAGGGAGTAGTACAGTCAGACAGACAGGAGGGAGTAGTACAGTCAGACAGACAGGAGGGAGTAGTACACTTAGACAGACAGGAGGGAGTAGTACACTTAGACAGACAGGAGGGAGTAGTACACTTAGACAGACAGGAGGGAGTAGTACATTCAGACAGACAGGAGGGAGTAGTACAGTCGACAGACAGGAGGGAGTAGTACACTTAGACATACAGGAGGGAGTAGTACACTTAGACAGACAGGAGGGAGTAGTACATTAGACAGACAGGGGGGAAGTTAGTCAGACGAAGGAGTAGCCCAAGACGGAGGGAGTAGTACACTTAGACAGACAGGAGGGAGTAGTACAGTCAGACAGACAGGAGGGAGTAGTACACAGACAGACAGGAGGGAGTAGTACACTTAGACAGACAGGAGGGAGTAGTACAGTCAGACAGACAGGAGGGAGTAGTACAGTCAGACAGACAGGAGGGAGTAGTACAGTCAGACAGACAGGAGGGAGTAGTACACTTAGACAGACAGGAGGGAGTAGTAACTTAGACGGGACAGGAGGGAGTATTTACACTTAGACAGACAGGAGGGAGTAGTACAGTCAGACAGACAGGAGGGAGTAGTACAGTCAGACAGACAGGAGGGAGTAGTACAGTCAGACAGACAGGAGGGAGTAGTACACTTAGACAGACAGGAGGGAGTAGTACACTTAGACAGACAGGAGGGAGTAGTACAGTCAGACAGACAGGAGGGAGTAGTACAGTCAGACAGACAGGAGGGAGTAGTACACTTAGACAGACAGGAGGGAGTAGTACACTCAGACAGACAGGAGGGAGTAGTACACTTAGACAGACAGGAGGGAGTAGTACAGTCAGACAGACAGGAGGGAGAAAGTACAGTCAGACAGACAGGAGGGAGTAAGTACAGTCAGACAGACAGGAGGGAGTAGTACACTCAGACAGACAGGAGGAGTATTTAAAACAGTCCAGACAGACAGGAGGGAGTAGTACAGTCAGACAGACAGGAGGAGTATTTAAACAACGGGGTAGAACAGAAAAAGGAGGGAGTAGTACAGTAGACAGACGGAGGGAGTAGTACAGTCAGACAGACAGGAGGGAGTAGTACAGTCAGACAGACAGGAGGGAGTAGTACAGTCAGACGGACAGGACGGGAGTTGTACACTTAGACAGTACCAGGAGGGCGTAGTACACTTAGACAGACAGGAGGGAGTAGTGCACTTCAGGACAGACAGGAGGGAGTAGTACAGTCAGACAGGACAGGGAGGGAGTAGTACAGTCAGACAGACAGGAGGGAGTAGTACACTTCAGACCAGACAGGGGGAGTTAGTACAATCAGACAGACAGGGGGGTAGTACAGGACAGAAGCAGGTGAGCTCATACACAGTCAAGACCGACAGGAGGAGTAGTACACTTAGGACAGACAGGGGGGAGTAGTACCACTCAGATGGACAGGAGGGAGTAGTACAGTCAGACAGGACAGGAGGAGGTAGTACAGCCCAGACAGACAGTAGGGAGTAGTACAGTCAGACAGGACAGTAGGGAGTAGTACAGTCTGACAGACAGGGAGGAGTAGTACGTCAACTTAGACAGGAGGGGAGTACAGTAACAGACAGGGGAGTAGTACAGTCAGACAGGACAGGAGGGAGTAAGTACAAGTCAGCACAGGACAGGAGGGGTAGTACACTTAGACCAGCACAGGAGGCGACGTAGTAAACTCAGATGGACAGGAGGGAGTAGCTACAGTCAGACAGACAGGAGGGAGTAGTACAGTCAGACAGACAGGAGGGAGTAGTACACTTAGACAGACAGGAGGGAGTAGTACAGTCAGACAGACAGGAGGGAGTAGTACAGTCAGACAGACAGGAGGGAGTAGTACAGTCAGAACAGGAGGAGTAGTACACAGACAGACAGGAGGGAAGTAGTACAGTCAGACAGACAGGAGGGAGTATGACAGCCAGACAGACAGGAGGAGTAGTACAGTCAGACAGACAGGAGGAGTAGTACAGTCAGACAGACGGGAGGGAGTAGTACAGCCAGACAGACAGGAGGGAGTAGTACAGTCAGACAGACAGTAGGGAGTAGTACAACAGACAGACAGAGGGAGTAATAGTCAGACAGACAGGAGGGAGTAGTACACTTAGACAGACAGGAGGGAGTAGTACACAGCAGAAACAGAACAGGGAGGGAGTAGTATAGTCAGACAGACAGGAGGAGTAGTACAGCCAGACAGACAGGGGAGTAATACCGTCAAACAGACAGGAGGGAGTATACAGTCAGACCAGAGGGAAAGGTAGTACACTTCAGACAGACAGGAGGGAGTAGTACACTTAGACAGACAGGAGGGAGTAGTACAGCCAGACAGACAGGAGGGAGTAGTACAGTCAGACAGACAGTAGGGAGTAGTACACTCAGACAGACAGACAGGAGGAAGTAGTACACTTAGACAGACAGGGGGGAGTAGTACACTTCAGACAGGACAGGAGGGAGTAGTACAGTCAGACAGACAGGAGGGAGTAGTACAGTCAGAGACAGGAGGGAGTAGTACACTTAGACGAACAGGAGGGAGTAGTACAGTCAGACAGACAGGAGGGAGTATTTACAGTCAGACAGACAGGGGGGAGTAGTAACAGTCATGACAGACAGGAGGGAGTAGTAACAGTCAGACAGACAGGAGGGAGTAGTACACTAGACAGACAGGAGGGAGTAGTACACAGACAGACAGGAGGGAGTAGTACAGTCAGACAGACAGGAGGGAGTAGTAACAGTCAGACAGACAGGAGGGAGTAGTACAGTCAGACAGACAGGGGGGAGTAGTACACTTAGCAGACAGGAGGGAGTAGTACAGTTAGACAGACAGGAGGGAGTAGTACATTAGACAGACAGGAGGGGAGAAAGTCAAAACATAGAAAAAAAGACAGGAGGGAGTAGTACAGTAGACAGACAGGGAGGGAGTAGTACAGTCAGACAGACAGGAGGGGAGTAGTACAGTCAGACAGACAGGAGGGAGTAGTACAGTCAGACAGACAGGAGGGAGTAGTACAGTCAGACAGACAGGAGGGAGTAGTACACTTAGACAGACAGGAGGGAGTAGTACAGTCAGACAGACAGGAGGGAGTAGTACAGTAGACAGACAGGGGAGTAGTACAGTTCAGACAGACAGGAGGGAGTAGTACACTTAGACAGACAGGAGGGAGAAAGTAACCAAAGTCAGGACAGACAGGAGGGAGTAGTACAGTCAGACAGACAGGAGGGAGTAGTACAGTCAGACAGACAGGAGGGAGTAGTACAGTCAGTAAGCACATGTCATCATGACACCTGTGGCTTAAAAGGCAACACACACCCATACACACATACACGAACAGACACACACACACACACAGCAGGCTTAAAATAACACAACTATCAATTGAACCCTAACACAGGGCATGATAAGAGAAATATATAATGCTTTTGGGGAGGGAGAGAAAGAGAGGAGCTGAAAATACTTGGACGTGAGTCTTAGACTCATAAATTACACCTAGTACCTAAAACTGGCCTGAACCTAGTTGGAAGGCTAGCCGATGGGAAGCAACATCTGTAGAAGCCCTCCCTCTCTGTATTTATGGAAAGAGGAACCTTGCCTTGCCGTGACCTGGGAACACGCTTAGCCAATTAGCAGGCTTCGCCAACGGATCAAATAGAAGAGAAAATATTCACCGTGGTGACGGAGACGCATCACAATGCCCCATTCATACTGCACAGAGAGAGACCCATGCTGCATGGGGGTTTTAGTCAGAGAGGTAATGAATGAAACAAGAACCTGACTTACCTCACCCTCCGCTTTGACGTGTCAATCTCAGGCCCCTGATTCATGACTCAATACGGACCCAGAGGTAAACAGTGTTCAAAGGAGATGTTTTTATAAGGTTATACACCACCCCTCACCTCCTCAACCCCACACATCCCCTCCCAGCCTCCCACCTCCACCCAACACAACCAACCACTGGTTTGATGCAGTGACCAGGCTGTGGGGCTGGGGCTCAGAGACCCCGGAGGCTGGGGGTAGTGACTGGAGGGCTGAGAGAAGGAGCACCAGAGGAGAGTTTCATGACAGCTCTGGGCACTAGGGAAACACCTGATCAAAGCTCAGCTGCCCTTTGGCCTACAGAGGCTCTCCTGCTTCCTAACAGCCCTCTTCTCTCTCTCTCTTTTTCTTTCTCTCTCTTTTGTACATGAAATGACCTCATATGATTAACAAGTATTATTCAAGACTACCACATTTTGTACTGCTGACCCAACCGTGAAATAAAGCTATAATACACCATTTAAGATGGTGGTTGTGTTCCAATTGATCTTTATTCTGTCACGTTACAATGGGCCCATATGAGAAGATATTATTCATTTCATAAATGTAGAATACCAGAATGTGTAAAAATACAGAAGGGAATGTAAATAGAGTATCAGACATAGTTAAAGAGAGCCAAGTGTGACCCCTCATGAAAAGGTACTACTGAATTACTACACAAAACCTGTTTGTACGGTAGTGACTATGTAGAGACTTGTAGGGATTGTGTAGTGAATGTGTAGTTTATGCACTACTCAAGATACACAAGTAGAGTTTTGTAGTGTTTAGTAGGATAGCAGTAGTTTACGGTAGTAATAAGGTAGAGATCTTTACTACTTGATGTTGGTAGTAAATAAGTATCACAACACTACAGCTTTATGCCACAGGCTTTTCAATAGTAATCAGGTAGAGTTTTTACTACTTGATGTTGGTAGTAAATAAGTATCACAACACTACAGCTTTATGCCACAGGCTTTTCAATAGTAATCAGGTAGAGTTTTTACTACTTGATGTTGGTAGTAAATAAGTATCACAACACTACAGCTTTATGCCACAGGCTTTTCAATAGTAATCAGGTAGAGTTTTTACTACTTGATGTTGGTAGTAAATAAGTATCACAACACTACAGCCAGACTACACTGGCATTTCATGACCGCAGAAGACACAACAGGAATTAGTTGGTTGTTGTAATCATCTTCCCCTCATGAAAAACTACTACTGAAATACTACTCATCATTACTAAACAAGATCTACACAAAACCTACTGGTACTACTACTTGATTGCTATTGAGATGTGTTGTAAACCAGTAGTGATATATGTAGTAATTTAAATAGCAATGAGTGATATATTTGGACGTTTTACGACTGGTGAACACTACGTATTTCCTACTCAAATCACTACTGTGTAACTACTGAGCTTTTGGGTATCTACTACTTAAAACCTACACATACTGTACCTACACAATTCCTACATGTTAATGATTGAATTACTACACAATGCCTACATATCACTGCTGTATGACTACTGCCAGTGCCATCTGTGTGTGCAGTGTTGTGTCAATACTGAATTGCTCCTGATCCTTTTTAATTTCCTACATAAACCCTTTTGTATTACTACTGAAAACATTTACTACTGTTTGACTATTCAAAATCCCTATTGACATCTTCTTGTTTCACTACTGTGTTTCTAACTGTAGTTATATCATCAAACAAAAAATAATAAGCTTATACAAACAAATTAATCACATATTAAATTACATATTTACACTTTTTTGTTAATCCCTTTGAGTCCTTGTCTTCATTCAGCTTTGACTTAAATGTTTTACATGTGATCTTATTTTCACTCATTCTGTGCTTGTAGTTGATCCCCCCAAAATTAATTTTTTTAAATATATTTTGTTTCGTTACAGAGTCATAACTTGCCATAGACTACAATGCATTATGAAAATGTGTCTAAACATGTTACAAAACGCTCCAAAACACTCCAAACCAACCAGAATCTCATTCTGGATAATGTCTCTGCACAATTTATTTTTTCATGTTCCACTGTCCCATAAATCCATATTTGCATATTTTTGTTGTTATTGTAAACAGCATCATTCAAATATGGATGTATGGCACAGTTTAAAAGTTTTTGGGTGCAGAGACATTATCAAGAATGAGATTCTGATGTAACATGAGTTGGTTTGGAGTGTTTTGGAGCGTTTTATAACATGCTTTAGACACATTTCCATAATGCATTGTAGTCTATGGCAGGTGATGACTCAACAAAACGTGACACCCAATTTAGGAATTGTGTAGCTACAGTTGAAGTCAGAAGTTTACATACACTTAGGTTGGAGTCATTAAAACTCGTTTTTCAACCACTCCACAAATTTCTTGTTAACAAACTATAGTTTTGGCAAGTCGGTTAGGACATCTACTTTGTGCATGACACAAGTAATTTTTCCAACCATTTTTTACAGACAGATTATTTCACTTATAATTCACTGTATCACAATTCCAGTGGGTCAGAAGTTTACATACACTAAGTTGACTGTGCCTTTAAACAGCTTGGAAAATTCCAGAAAATTATGTCATGGCTTTAGAAGCATCTGATAGGCTAATTGACATTGGAGGTGTACCTGTGGATGTATTTCAAGGCCTACCTTCAAACTCAGTGCCTCTTTGCGTGACATCATGGGAAAATCAAAAGAAATCAGCCAAGACCTCATCCTTGGGAGCAATTTCCAAACGCCTGAAGGTACCACGTTCATCTGTACAAACAATAGTACGCAAGTATAAACACCAAGGGACCACGCAGCCGTCATACCGCTCAGGAAGGAGACGCGTTTTGTCTCCTAGAGATGGACGTATTTTGGTGCGCAAATCAATCCCAGAACAACAGCAAAGGACCTTGTGAAGATGCTGGAGGAAACAGGTACAAGACTGTCTATATCCACAGTGAAACGAGTCCTATATCGACATAACCTGAAAGGCCGCTCAGCAAGGAAGAAGCCACTGCTCCAAAACCGCCACAAAAAATACAGACTACGGTTTGCAACTGCACATGGAGAAATGTCCTCTGGTCTGATGAAACAAAAATAGAAATGTTTGGCCATAATTACCATTGTTATGTTTGGAGGAAAAAGGGGGTTGCTTGCAAGCCAAAGAACACCATCCCAACCGTGAAGCATGGGGGTGGCAGCATCATGCTGTGGGGGTGCTTTGCTGCAGGAGGGACTGGTGCACTTCACAAAATAGATGGCATCATGAGGAAGGAAAATTATGTGGATATATTGAAGAAACATCTCAAGACATCATTCAGGAAGTTCAAGCTTGGTCGTAAATGGGTCTTCCAAATGGACAATGACCCCAAGCATACTTCCAAAGTTGTGGCAAAATGGCTTAAGGACAACAAAGTCAAGGTATTGGAGTGGCCATCACAAAGCCCTGACCTCAATCCTATAGAACATTTGTGGGCAGAACTGAAAAAGAGTGTGCGAGCAAGGAGGCCTACAAACCTGACTCAGTTACACCAGCTCTGTCAGGAGGAATGGGCCAAAATTCACCCAACTTATTGTGGGAAGCTTGTGGAAGGCTACCCGAAACGTTTGACCCAAGTTAAACAATTTAAAGGCAATGGTACCAAATACTAATTGAGCGTATGTAAACTTCTGACCCACTGGGAATGTAATGAAATAAATAAAAGCAGAAAATAAATCATTCTCTCTACTATTATTTTGACATTTCACATTCTTAAAATGAAGTGGTGATCCTAACTGACCTAAGACAGGTAATTTGTACTAGGATTAAATGTGAAGAATTGTGAAAAACTGAGTTTAAATGTATTTGGCTAAGGTGTATGTAAACTTCCGACTTCAACTGTATGTGTAGGCTTGAAGTAGTAGATACCCAAAAGCTCAGTAGTTACACAGTAGTTATTAAGGGAGAATTTTGTAGTGATTTGAGTAGGAAATATGTAGTGTTCACCAGTCGTAAAACGGTTTATTACACTGTAGGTTTTGTGTAGATCTTGTGTAGTACTGATGAGTAGTAATTCCGTAGTACTTTTTCATGAGGGACGGTCAAGAGAGGAGCTGTGTTACAGCAGAATGATTGACTAAATGTATGCTTCCACATGTTAATAAAAGTCTGTGTATTTACATCAGGGTGACAGGCAGTTCCTCAAATAGCCTGTACAGTCCATGGCCTGGCCTATGGGCCAGGATAAAGACTCCTCTATTTCAAAAATGAATTGTTTATTTATGTGGGTGGAAGCATACTGTAGGTGCTTCGTTAAAAAGGTGACCCATGTCTCTGCTGGTGGATGTTTCCATCGAAGCTTATAAAAATGTTACCATGCCAGTGTCCGGCTACAAAAATGTTTTTGAAAAAAAGAGTGTAAAAAAAAACGTACAGCGAGGCATGCATTTTCAAATATCTCTCTGTTCACCCATAGATCTGAACATTCCAACTGAAATGGCCAAATCTAATATCCCTTATCCGATATCTCCTCTCTCTCGCTTTCTACCTGCCTGTCACTCTCATTCCACCTCCTCCCATTCACTTCCCCCCGTTCTCTCTTTTATTTAAGGTCAGATATGGCCTTAAATACACCCGTCAGACTCGGCCAGCCTCTCCTCCTATCACATCCAGTCTTTCCTCCCCAGCCATCCTGGCCGAGCTGCCCCAGGCCCTCCAGACGTGCGGTTTGGAAGGGGATATCACATGTTTAAATATTGCTCATTGTTTTTCTTGGAAGTTGTTTTACAGTGGCTACTGTAAAACAACTTCCATAAGGCTTTACCTGCCATCGGCAGTATTTCATCTCCTTACAGCCCAGAGGCATAAAAGATATGGATGAACAGAGCAATATGATTAGATGGAGATCATTCATCCACCCTGGCCCGGGCTTTCCCCAGGAACCTAGGCACATTCTCAACTGGAACCTAGTCACATTCTCCACCTGTGTATATACACTTGAAGACGGAAGTTTACATACACCTTAGCCAAATACATTTAAACTCAATTTTTCACAATTCTTGACATTTAATCCTAGTAAAAAATACCTGTCTTAGGTCAGTTAGGATCACCACTTTATTTTAAGAATGCAAAATGTCAGAATAATAGTAGAGAGAATGATTTATTTTCTGCTTTTATTTATTTCATCACATTCCCAGTGGGTCAGAAGTTTACATACACTCAATTAGTATTTGGTAGCATTGCCTTTAAATTGTTTAACTTGGGTCAAACGTTTCGGGTAGCCTTCCACAAGCTTCCCACAATAAGTTGGGTGAATTT